GACAGGGGGCTGGCAGGGGAGGGGACACCATGGGAACAGGGTGCGGGACAGGGGGCTGGCAGAGGAGGGGACAGGGGGCTGGCAGGGGAGGGGACACCTGGTGACATCACGTTGGCAGACGCCCCTGGAGGCGTAGGAGGCGGAGCTGAGAGTGGCAGGTAAGTGGGGGGAGGGAAGGTATCACGAGAATCGGGGAGGTGAGGGGAAAGGAAGGATTTTTGACATGCTGAGGGAGAAGAAGGAGACCAGGTAGGGCACGGTGCCACGTACCATCCTCCATTTTCTTGGCTCTCTGGGGACTGGGAGCCATTTTGGTGGTCACTGCTCTCCGAAAAACTAACACGTGCTCAGGGTTTCTGAGCTGGGGAGACAGGGTGGGGAGAATTCCACGCGGTCTGGCCAGGATTTTGTGGACAGTGGGACTCGGGGACTTTAAGATGCTCAGGGAACCGGTTTCCCTAGGCGTGAGCAGAGTCTGGTCTCTTTAAAATACCGAGTTTTGGGGTAGAGAGTTCAGGACTGGGGTGGGGAGAATTAGGAAGAGCAGAGGTACATTCCTTGTTATTCGGCTTTTCCTTCACTTCCCTTTGCTTGAGTAAAAAGTTCCCTTTGCTGATCACACTTGCAAACTCCAAAACACAAACGTGGCTGAAGGCTGTCACGCCCCCTCCGCCTCCTCGGGGCTGCGCAGCCTTCCCGTGCTCTAAATAGGAGCGAAAAAGAACAAGTCCCTCGCCTGTTTTTGGCTGTTTTTGAGCTTCCCACCGCCCTATGGAGCGGGGAAGCTCATCCAGCTCGGTGCGGTCGGTGTCCTGGTCCGGCAGGGTCTTCTCTTTACCTTCTCTTCACGCCTCGGGGCAGGAGGAGCTACCCTGTTCTCCCTCTCGGAAGAACTGGCTCACCAAGAAGAAGCTGCGCTTCCCAGAGGCACAGGACGTCCACGAGTCTTCTGTGGGATAAACCCCAAAGTCTCTGCTGGACAGCTATGTCCTCACAACAATGCCAGTGGACGCCAAGCTGCCTTAAAGTCTCTCCATGGTCTTGTGAGGTTCCGAGAGCTCCGGAGTGTCCCGTCGGGGCGGCAGGCTCGAACCAGCCTCCACGTCTGGGCGCCAAAATGTTGGTGTTAGCAATATTGAGAACGGGACGTGCCTTGGCTTGTCCGGGCCCTGCTGCTGGACCGAATAGCGGCAGATGTGGTGTTTCAGCCCATTGACACCTTTGGCTAGCTGGATGTCGCAGCTGGGTGCATGGGGACACGTTGAGGCGTGCCGGAGCTCGGGTGGATGGAGCTTCCTCTCGCAGAGGGTCCGATCCTCAGATTTCCCTCTGCCGGAGGAGCCTTTAGGGCGATGGTGGAGGAAAGGAGTCGGTTCTGATGGAGGGTTTTAATACAGAGTTTTTATTCTGGCCCGCAGGCCTCTGAATCCAGCCACAGCTCCACCAGAACTCTCGGACCGCATGGTTCCCCTCTCTTTTACCTGGGGAAGGGGAGGGGGGAAGGGATAGGGAGCCACCAACCAGGTCTGGGAGAGGAGGTCTCAGGGGACAAAGGACATCTGGATAGCCCAATTCCCTCCGGGGATGGAGGGCATATTTTTTTTAATCTGCCCAATTACTCTGGGATACAATACACTTCTGGAATGCCAGGAGTGATAGACAGTGCTGGCAGGGTGGGGAAAGGAGGACTGACACACCTGGGAGGACATCTTCAGGGGAGGAACCAGGGTTCCAGGGTAAACCATGAAGGCACACCATAACAAAGGCCAGATTGAATGGAGAACTGGATCTTGTGTCCTGCCCATTGCAAGGGGAGGTTGGAACTATATAGTCTTTAAGATCCATTCCAACACAAACCATTTCATGATTCTGTGACTTCCTTTCTGGTAGCCAGTCTACAAAGATCCAAAATTTTTTCAACAACCCCACCTACAGCTCTTTCCCTGGGTAGCTATGAAGTGTTCTGGGGATGGGCAGTGGTTGCTCAATCCAGGGACATCTTCAGCCTCTGCTGCTTAGCTGTGGTGAGGGGACAGCTGTGCACGGTGGCTTTCTCTTTCTCTCTTCCAGCACGGCATTGAGGAGACGGCAGCAGAATGCCAGAAGCTGGGAGCCACTGTTCAAACCTTTGTGGTGGACTGCAGCAAACGGGAGGAGATCTACAGCGCTGCAGACAAGGTGGGACAGCAGGGGCAGGGCCAAAGGCTTTCCCAACCACGCTTGATTTCCAAAGAAGGCAGGAAAACTAGAGAAGGCGTGTTGCACACAAATCCTGCAAGCCTGTGGAAGCTCTCCACTCCTCGCAGCTCCCTAGACACAGAGTGCTGTAGCATTTCCAAGATCACAGCCAGTCTCATCCTATTTGGGAGGCTCCAGCATATCACATCCTCTTGTCAAGTTTTCTCTCTAGGGTTCCAGCCTCTAAAGGAACATAACACTGAGAACATATGAAATATTTTATTGTAATGGCTGTGGTCCAGCTGCCTCAAAGCAGTCTGTACCTCCATGCTCCCAGTTGTGACTACACAGTCCAAACTGTGCAATCAGTTTGTGGAACACAATAAACAACACTGGCATTAATGAATGGGGAAGAATCAGATCTAAACCAGATTCCATGGCTCTGCTGCAAAGTCCCTGCCACATCTGGAAATGTGGCATGATCTAACTCTCTCTTGAAGATGCAATGTTAAGAATTTAATTATGGTTCATCTTCCCTGCCCTTACTTTTTTTTTTTTCCCTCTCCTGAGTGACAGACACAATTTTGGGCTTTTGTTTTCTCTCCAAAAGGTGAAGAAGGATATTGGGGATGTGACTATCCTGGTGAACAATGCTGGTGTGATTACACCTGCTGACTTTCTCTCGACTCAGGACCACCAAATAGAAAGGATGTTTGAAGTCAACATTCTGGGTCACATGTGGGTAAGGGCCACCACCATCTATAGCTACAGTTCTTTTGGGAGTGTCAATGAGGATGCTTATTTAGAGCAACCATCGTTAGCAGTGAATTAGCAAATGAACTGTTACAGCACAGGAGCACCCAAGCAGACTGTGTGCTGGGAAACTGGAATGGCCTCTTGCTGATGTGAGCTGGCTGGTGACAGCCTCACCTGCAGCACACACAGAAGGCCTCTGTCAGAGGTGTCGTGGGGCTGACAGGGTGGGAGGGTTTCAGTACTTGTTTGTGGCAGAAGAAAAGAGAAGCCATAGATTGACAAGTGGTTTATGGTACGTACTGGGGTGAGCCCCTGCCAGCACTTCTGCTGACACCTGAAACCTTAAAAGCGGCAAAGGAAAGATGTGAAAGCCATCTCCTATTTCTAGCCAACTGCTGAAGCCTTTGGAGAGCAGGTTGCCAGCTGCACCACTGCTCAGAGAGCAGGTGTGGCTCTGGAAATCTGAGGTGCTGTGCAGCTCATAGCTTTAGGGATAACTTTGGCCACCTAGTGAATAACACTGAGGGTCAGTGCTGTGTGTGCCTAAGAAAATAATGTTCTTTTCCTCCTTCCTGTCCCCTACATTTTGCCTCTTGGTTTAAATGACTTCCAAGACCACAAGAGCTTTCCTGCCAGTCATGATGAACAATAACTACGGGCACATTGTCACGGTGGCTTCAGCAGCAGGTCATTTTGTGGTTCCCTTCATGGTAGCATATTGGTAAGTGATTTTGAAATCAGGTTGCTTAATTTAAAAAAAAAAAAAAAAGCCTCTTTTCCATCAGGAAGTATCAAGTAATTAGCTCTGATGGAATTGTGAGCAATGTTTATATGAAAGAATTGCCATGTGATATGTATTTTCTTTGGAATTCATTGAAATTTAAGGCCCACACCTATTTCCGTGGCAGGTCTTTTCTTCTCTACATTTTGCTTGCATAATATCCTACTATTTCAAAGCAGACGCAGTTGATTTGAGATGCTGCTGTCTGGTACAATGAATATTCAAATGTTAATCTTCATTTCTACCCTGCAAATCCTTCCTAATTTCTGACTTTCATGATGCATTCCTTCCAGGAATCTTCTCTCATGGGAAAAATGGGATGTGCGTCGATTGACACACACTAGTTAATGTTTTCTAAGATTTCCTGATACTTTCCTCTTTTTTTTGTCTGCCTGTTCATGCCCTGCTTTCCACAATTACTCCACAAGTTTCCATATCTTATCCAGCACTACAGTCTGGCAGAGGGGAAGTTAATATAGTCCTTGTTCTGCTTCTCAGCTGGATTATAATATTTGGAGGTTTTTGCATCCTACTCTGTACTGTACGTATATGTTTTTTTTTAAGCCATTTGCAGGGGTAGAAAGGTGGAAATAGGGTTTCTGCCTTCTCATTTGTACTTTCTCCCTTCCTGCAGCTCAAGCAAGTTTGCTGCAGTTGGATTTCATAAAGCTCTGACAGAGGACCTGTCTGCCCTGGGAAAGGATGGAATAAAAACAACGTGCCTTTGTCCGGTTTTTATAAACACTGGCTTTGTCAAAAACCCCCGTACAAGGTAACTCTCAACACTCTGCATTCCTGCATTTCCTTCTTTGCATCAAGGTACTGCATATTATCCCTAGCTTTACACCTCTGTTCCAACTGGCTGTATAACAACTGTTTGTATCATTGGCTAAAGAATATCTGCAATGTCCTTTAATTATTGCTTTAATTGTTGTTTAATTGTCCATGTAATTGTTGCATTTGACTTACCTGAGTTTGTGCATCTGTGAAGCCTCCTAGATCAGCTGGTACCACGCCCTTTTATCACTGCAGCTCTTGTGTTTGCTTTCCTGTGTAGACTTGGAAAGATTTTGGAGATTGAAGAAGTCGTAGAGGCTTTGATGGAAGGAATAGTGACCAACCAGAAAATGGTTTTTGTTCCACCACAGCTAAACATTGCTTTGCTTTCTGAAATGTAAGTACAAAGGAAAATTAAACAATGGATGTGGAAACAACAATACTACCTGAGTATACAAGGTTCAAACTTGTAACTTCTGAGTCAGCAAAAGCTCCAGAAAGAGCTGAGGACCTGCTGCTCATTAGTATTTGTTACTTTATGTCAGCAATGAGGCCACAGAGGCTGAGAACATTGCTTCAAAAGGACTGTACTGCTCTCTCTATGTAAAGCAAGATTTATCCTCTCACACAACTTAATTATCCAGTGCAGCTGCTCTGTTGAGGAGGTGTTTTTACCAGTGCTCCTGTTCCTAATCTGGAATTCACATCTGAACAACTAAGTTAGATTCTCAGTTAAATCTATAGTAACTCATGAAACACTTGGTAGATTCTTGTTTACCAAACCAAACACCAGACAGTGGGAAAAATATTTCAAATCCTTTTGCAACTCCAAGAGCTGCCTGTTGAGAGTGCAAGTCTGCAAAAGCATAGGCAAGTCAAAACTGATGCTGTCAAACCACTTAGAATAAATTTTCTTTTTTAGTCATAATTTAGGGAGATAAAGAGACAAAGCTCTTTAAAAGGAGGACTCTTAGGAGTGAAAACTGCACCTCAGTTTTAAAATCTCATCCTTTCACAGGCCTACTGTATTTCAGAGCATGAAATGTAATGCACACCTACATCTGTACAATATTGAAACTTCCTGGATCCTGCAACAATATTGCAGTTCACATACTGCCCATAGATAGCTGGCATTGGAACTGTCCTAAAAGGCCAGGAATGGACTTTAATTACTCAGAGATTGATGAGACCTATGGAAATAATGCCCAATTTAATACAGAGTCTCAGTTCATGTGTGCATGCATTCTGCTGCCAGACCAGCTCTTCCCTCACCTGCAGTGATTCTTTTTCCCATAATTTGAGTTTCTATCCCACTTTTAATTTCATGTTACTCTCTCTTTCAGGGTTTTTCCAGAACGTGCCCTGAACCTTCTGAAGAAGATGACCATTCCAAAGTTTGATGCAGTCATTGGGCAGAGAAGCACCCAGTGAAAAGCAAGAATTTATTCTCATTTCCCAGAGGCACCAGTGAAAACAGAACATGTGCTGAGCATAGTTCAGCTGGCTTGATTCAGAAAAGAGCTCAGGCAGGTGCTTCCAGACCACCATTCCCAGGCACACCTAAGGGCTTATTCCACACCTGCAGCTGGAGCACACCTGCATAACAGGGAGTGTTAGCAAAGCAGTGATGCAGCTCTAGAAGGGCTGCTTTTAATGTACATCCCATCACCTTTGTCTCATTGTGCTGAGGCAGGCAGCATGCCCACAAAGCCCGTGTTTGCCCACAGCTCCCTAGTTGACTGCAAAGGGATTACCTGACAACACGTTCATCTGGACTCATCCCTGAGCAAAAGCATCTTGCAAGAAGCAATTTATAGAGGTGGGTGGCCTATTTCATCTCACTTAATAATTTTAAGTTAAAAAAAATTTGCTCTAATGAACACTTACAGTTTTGTGTGCATTTGTAATGAGCATTATTGAACTAATTATTTGTATTATTAATTATATGTAATTATTGAAATTATTGATTATATGTGATTATTGAGATAATACAGCCTTTTTTGTAATGTAATGCCTAATTACAACATTTATCAATTATGCATTTGCACCACCAACACTCCATATTACAAATAAATACATTTTTCTAACCCAAAGGTGTCTCTCAGCAATGAAAGTGGCAACCAGGTCCAGTACCAATGGAGCTTGTGCTACAATGCTGAAAGGATCAGCCACAGTCTGCCAAACACCAGTCCAGGCTGCAGGGATGAGGCAGTCCCCAGGCACATGGGGAAGCCACGTCAGGATCAGTGAGGTACAGGGCCAGGTAGTCCAACCCACGCAGGGGCCAGGGCTTAAAGGCAGTGCCAAGGCTAGGGGTGGAGGAGAAGGCTCCAGATGAGCTTTCACACAGCTTCTCACAAGCCAGGGGCCTCCTCTGATGGCATAGGAGGTGAAATCCCTGAAGGTCTTTGGCCTGGGGTCCAAGAGAGCAGCAGCTGCTGACACACGGGTCAAAGACCCCTCCACAGCACAGAGAATCTGTGCACCCATTGTGCAACTCCCACCCGCTGCAGGCACTGCTGGCCCACAGCCATCCCAGGCAGGCCTGAACACACTGCCACCTTCAACACAGTTGGAACCTGTCCTGTTCACCTGAGCCTTACAAGTTGTTCTGTGAACCAAGATTCTTTTTCTTCAGAAAAGGGAGAGCCCTCACCACCCAGCCCCTCCTGCTCTTAGCTGGCAACAGGTAGAAGCACTATTGACAGCTTAAATAACATAGAACTGGTTTCTATTTTGCCCATGGAATATTCATGTAACAGGACACTTCCCAGCTTCAGCTCTTGTGCTTCACAGTGCGAGATTCCTGCAGCTGAGACAGGAAAGGAAAAAGGGGGTTCACAAATTCAGGACATTAAAAAAAAGGTTATAAGCCAATCAAAGAATACTTAGGCATGGTTTCCATTTAAAAACAAAGCCAAAATGTGGAGGGCTTGCATCCCTTCTTTTTGAGCTGCATATTGCTCTCTTGCTACCATGACAGTCCTGTAACATGTGAGACACTTGAAGTCACATCTCTGTGGCTTTTTGATTATGTTCATTTTCACCTATTCTTACCTCGTGAGGAGTCAAAAAGTCTAAAAATACAGATGCTTCAGAAGTTCAAAAGACCTGTCAGAGCAAGCAGCATACCAGCCAAATGTTTCTGCTTAGCACTTACTGGAACATAAGGGCTAAATCAGTACTTTACAGATTTGTAGGAACTTAACAGTTGTCTCTTTTATGACTGGCAAGTATTCTTAACTTCCCACCCAGCTTAGTCTCTCTTAGTACCCACCTTCCACATTTCTTCTGTTTCATGACTTGAGTCCTTGCTCAAAGGAGTCACAGTTCAGTGACTCCACAGAAGAAAGCTTAAAAAGACCCTGGAGAAAAGTCAACATTGAATGACTTGGCTCCTTTGGACTAGGGAAGGACTGGCTTCAGTAGGACACATCAGACAAGATGCTTGGCTTCTACTGGCACACCATTCCCACTAGCCCTGTATATCATTTTGATTCTGATGGCAGCATTAGATTGGAACAAAAATCCATCCAAGGGATGACAGTGCTCTTCTGAAGAGTCTGTTTCTTAGCACATTTGCTCCTAAGGAAGGGGAGCCTCTAGTGATTCCTGCTTTGCCGGATCTAGTCCAGAGTTTGGAATTACTGGGTAAGGCAATTTCGCAGTATTCCGTGTGAGGCTGTGGTTCTGTTCTATGTCTTCTATGGCTGCAAATCTTTGGCTTGGCATAAAGAAACATATGCAAAAGCAAGGATTTCAGCCTTCATCTCCTGAACACCAGAGACAGAATTGAGGCACCAAGCTTCCCAGGCTCTTCAGTTCTCTTTCTGGACACAACACTCAGCTGAAGCTTAGCCTAAACTCTGGTCACGCGTGGGTGCCCAGCAGGAGTCCATGTGAGTAGGTTTCATGCAGCCACCTACAGCTAAGTAACAGATTTAAAAAGTGGTACCTCACGCCCTGGCCTAAGGACTCCTTATGAGTCAGGTTAGTGACTCTGGCCCTGTGCTTCGCCTCCTGCTGAGATGTCTCTAGGAGTTGGTGCTTCCATGTCCTCCCTGCCTCCTTTTCCTTGGCCCCAGCACTAACTGGAGCCCTGTGCCAGGAAACCTACAGCAACACTTAGCCATGCAATTTGGGGTCTTGCCCAAATGCTGATGCTGTTAATTAAGCAGGGAACCAGGTTCCAAGAGAAAAGTAGGAAGCGCCTACTTCTTAATCTTTGTACTGGAGTCAGCGTAGTCTCCTGCAGACATGATAAGTAACAGCTCAGTTAAAAGCACCATGATGTTGCCTGGAGGTCTGTGAACCTCCTTCCTCAGCTCCTCCAGCTGTTCTGCTTTTAAAAAGCCCTGAGGAAAACACTGAAAGAAGTGCACCCTGAACACTACTGCTCCACAGGAAGCATCTACATTGTTATCCTTATATCCTGAAAGTTTGTTAATGTTTGTTATAGTATAAGTTTGTTTGGTTTTGCTAAGGATTGACAATCAAAATAACATCTCAGTTTCTGGTACTGTTCCATAGTGCACTCTCCTTGCAACCCTAATTGTGACCAAATTGAGGGAAGGGATTCGGTACGATGGCAGAATGTCTCCAGAAGAAGGGAAAATCAGAGGTGGGAGGCAAGACTGAATTGGGAGCTACCTCCAGGAAAAACTCTTGGGGCACCAAGAAAACCCCTGTGGTTCGAGAGGTGAGGATGTCAGCTCATAGCAATGCTACTACTCATTCACTTTGGAGGAAGTGGAGGAAAAACTTGTGAGAAGCGTTACTATCCCTTGTATAGAGAAGATACAATAAGTGTATTAATCAGAGTACACACAAACATGAATCCCAAGTGTATCAATCACTCCCAGTTAACAACCTGTAAAGAAGAAAACCAAATATATTGGATAGCTAAAAATATTGCAAACCCAAGCCAGAGGATGTCAGGAGAGTGCCCTGTGACAGATGGGTATGTTTTGAACAAGGAAGTGAAACCAACTTAGAGGGAAGAGAGAGAAGTGCAATTTTTCAACAAGAAAAGAAGTGCAATGGAAAAGACAGAGAGAGAGGGACAAATACATGGTAAGAATCTTTTTATCGATAATGGTGGAAAAGCTTACAAAAGAATTTAATTTGACTGATTGTTGAATGTGCAGGGGGACACACTTACGTGAAATTTGGCCATGAGATGGTATCAGTTTAGGTCCTCTAGACATTCTAAAATGGATTGCATCAAGAAAAAGCATGGTAGTACCCCAAAGAAGGGGAGTGGAAGATAAAATCAACAATAATAGGGGAAGAGTGTTTATAAAGAAAAGGGAAAATGTATACTATAGAAGTAGGAGAATCCCCATGTAAAAGATAACTAGCAGCAAATGACACACACACCAGGTGGATCTCAGAAACCCCCATTCATATTGGTCAATAGAATAAACTGAAAGTAGATGTGTATACAGTGAAAAAGAAAAAAAATGTTTGAATGCTTAGGAGATTATATTAACCCATTCTGAGCAATCTGAATGTATGTGTGAGCAGGAGCAGCACTACGCCAAGCACCACAATGGCAGTAAAACCAAACAATGGCATCTTTGTGGGTTGAAGGCCTGATCAAACTATGATTGAAGTCAATCGGAGCCTTTTTGGTGGTTTTCAGGAGCATTGGATGAGAGACACAATACATTACAAGCATATCACTAACTCTCAAAGCCAGAAATAAGAGCACAAAGTTCCTCATTTAGACCAGCAGTCTACCCACTGATGACTTCTACCTTTTCACAGAGCTTGCTTCAATCCCCAACACTTGTCTGAGCAAGCTGGAAGGTAATATTTCCTCCCTTGGCACTTCTTAGGTGTCAGGCTTTCATTTTGAAGAGAACCAGTCTGGGGAAGTAAAGCAGCTGCCTGGCTGGACACTGTGGATATATGATGTAGAAACTCTGAGGCCAATAGGGAATATAAGTGTACACTGTGATAGAAGGGGAGGGAAAATCCACAAAACACAAGCCTGTACAGGTCACTTGGTACAATTCTAGCCTTCTGGAAACTCCACATGGAAAGTAGCATCTCTGCCACATACATTCAGGTTAGTACCTTCCAAAAGTACAGATGTACTTGAGGAAGCTTGCCTGAGATTTTTATGTTCAGAAAAAAATCCCAACAAACAAACCAGGAAAAATACATTGCCAAACAGGAATTTTCTGAGATGTATTTATGCAAAACCTAAACTGTGCTGGGTTGATCACTAGTGCCATTTTTTGATAAGCACGTCATATAATCAATTCAGCTGTTTGCCACTGAATTTTCACTGCCTCTGGCCTCTGGAATAAAAGGCACAGAGGTGTGGAATAACAACCCAAACCTGTCAGATATATTTGTGATAATAACAATGATCCCCATATTTTCATGGACAGTCTTTGTCAAACAGGCCATCTCAAATAGAAGTGTTATTTAGTTGGACATTTTTGCCTTTCAAGATTCCTAAATAGATGTGCATGTCCTCCTAAAAACAGTATATTTATACTCTGTGTGAAACTGCAAAGCTTCAGCCACTCATTCTCAGATAAATATGGATTTCTAAAACACCTTCTTGCTTTTCAGCAGAACTGTGTTGGATTCAGGAAAAAACGAAATCCTAGAATTTTTATGCACATTTGTAGAAGTGAATTTGGCATCCCGAGGGAGTCCAGATTTCAGCTCTGCAGTATGGAATTGGGAAATCTACTGGCCTCTTAAATCTGTGGGGCTGGAGGTGACTGGCATTTTTACTTGGGAAGCTGTGCTTGCTTTTGTGTAAGGAAGACTCCATACTCCCCGGAGCATCTATTTCTTTCATAAGGTCTTTCTCTGGTTCTAGCAGCCTGTGAAACTTTCTTGGCCAATTCTTTTCAAGTTCTGAAGTCAAGCTTTGACCAAACGGGACCAAGACTTACACTTATTATTCCACAGGCAGAGAAGGATACTACTAACAAAGGGACTAAATCAAATGAGGGGAAACGTGTACTGGGGAAATGTATTCCTGCACTGGAGGGGCTGTATGTATGTCTCTGTATGAGATACATACATACATACATACATACATATATATATATATATATATGTGTGT